TGCATGCACAAAAGAGTGGAACAGCAGAGCTATCTCTTGTGAAGGAACTTACAAGAGTGCGAAATAATCACGTGATATGATGTCATAGCACACGTTAAAGTAAGGAGAAAATGAGCCATATGCACTAATTCTTTCAAAACTTATTTTTATGGATTAAGCAACATAGTGGAGTTCGTTCGATGTTTACATTTTGAGAGTGGCGATTCCTGGCATGTTTTTGGTTGTGAATTAAGAGAACGTTTATTGTTTTAAGATGCCATCGAAGCAAACCAATAATCAAGCATTCCATGAGGAATATACTAAACAATGGCAAGTTCTAAAAGGGTCTAAGAGATCAGAAAATCATGCTTATATAATATGCAATCTTGATTTTTCAATCGTGGCGGCTGCAACTATTGCAAACGCCATTTCAATAATGCTAATGCTTCAGCAAAACATATCAAAATCTGATAATAACGTTATTTGTGCGAACACATTATTTACAACATTTTTACTTGAACACAATTTGCCGGTATCAGCATCTGACCATGCAAGACTGCTATTTCAGAAGATGTTCCCAGACTCTGAAATAGCTAGGACTAAGATGGGAGCAATTATCAATTGTCTGGCAGAAATTATGACCAGTGAGCTAAAAGGAATTTAGAAAATTCCAAAATTTGCCCTGACTACTGATGGTAGCAATATGAATACTGAAAAAATTTTGCCTATTGTGATTTTTTTTTTTTTTTTTTTTTTTTTTTTTTTTTTTTGATGATGAATCAGTTCAAAAAATTACACCCCATCTATTGAGCTTGTTTAAGTTAGATGGTGATGCTAAAAGTCTAGAGTATTGGATGAAAAGCTTCAAAATTTTTTAATTGAACAGCTTTTTTTATCGGATAATGCATCTTCAATGATTGGAGCTCATAAAGGTGTTCTCAAGTTTATTTTGGAAAAAAAAATCTAAAGTTAATTATGTGTAGGTGTTCTTGTCACCTCATAAATTTGGCCACTAAAAAAGCTTTTTAGGTAACTAGAGGAATTTTTTCAGTTGAAATTTTTTATTACTACCTGAAAAAAAATTCATAACGTCTTGAAATGTTCAAAGAGTGTCAAAAGCTGTGTGGCCTAGATAATCACAAAACTTTAAAGTGTGTTTCTATTAGTTGTTGTTGACAGAACACCGGAGCAATGGGAATGATAAAAGACCTTTTTTGAAGAAAATGATTCTTCTCTAAAATGTAGAAGCATCAAAAAAAATTTGAAAATTTAACAAAACTATACCTGCTTTTTTTGCAGAATGTATTGCAAATATTCTGCAATTCTAAGTTAAAACTGCAGACAGATTCACCAATGATACACTGTCTTCAAAGGGGATACGAAGGGAGAGATTTAAATCATTGAGTAAAAACCTATTTCCCTAAGATTTTATAAAGACTATCTCCAATTAAAACCTGCAAAGTTCGAAATTCATGGTTGAAGTACTGTTGTCTAAGTTGTTTGTATTTAATGTACTGGGTCAAAATGTGTTTGATTGTTAAAGGTTTTTGGCACCTCGACCATACGGAAAAAAATAGACTTTCATGAGAGCATCAATAATTATTTTGTTCTAACTTAAAGTTGTTTCTTGCACAAATAAATTGAACTTATTTGAAACAACTTACATATTTCTGCCACAAGTTCTTTTGTAATTGTAGAGCAGGGAACAATCTGGTAGTAACCATTTAAAGTATGGACATTAATGAAACTTCTCTTGCAAGTGTTTGGATAAAGTTGCAACCTATAAGAAATATTAATATTCAGAGAGGCTGGGTAAATTATGCCCACACTCTGATAATGACTATAAGATCTAAAAACTGCTTAGTTAATTTACTGGTAAAACAGCCAATAACAACGATACCACAACATTAACAATTGAATAAAACTTAAAATCCGTCTTGTTTGGATTGAAATCTTTCCATTTTAAAGATTATTATTTATTTATTTTGAGATAGGACAACTATTACCATTAGCCAACCTCGCTTAAAGAAATATCATTGGTTTTATAATATTAGGTAGACTAAGTAATGGGTATGGTTATGTTTAGTTCAGTGTAATATAACAGGGATTTTTTATGCATTAAAATTAAATACAAACCGAATAACAAACCTCGTGATAACAAACCGAATTAGCAACTTCAACCCTGAAAAAATGGTTTAAAATTTTTTTTAATGCAGTTTAGAAAGCAGAAAAATGAAAGAAAAATTGCTAAGTATTAATAACCGATAACATTACTACTGATACAAATTATTAAGTTCAATGAGTTATGTGAACCTCTCATCCAATCATAACTAGTCCTTCAAATTTGTCATTGCTTATGCCTCGTCTTTCTCTTTGGAAACATAGTTCTCTGATCAGTTGTTCTTTTGAATTAACAAACGTTTCTTTCCTCAACAGTGTAAGACTGAAGACAATTAAGGATCAATTTTGGGCATTGGGAAGTGAATTAATTTTTTGTTTGTGCATGTGCTTAAAATCTTGATCACATTTCACCTGGTGTTTGGTTAATTTTTAATTTGACTGAAAATATTGACTTTGAAATGACTGGAGAAAAAAGAATAAAAAATATGGGACACTGTTCAACAAGACCTATACTGAAGAATTTGGTGAATTGAAGAGGTGGCATTACTCAACACATTGAGAGAGAAAAACATCAGTGAATGTCAAGAACTCTCACTGAAAACACAACACTTGGCTTTCCTACTATCCAGAACGATCTGGCTGAATGTATGTTTACATCATTTATTATAGAACACAACCTGCCACAAATGTGGCTGATCATGTTGGTCTCCTATTAGGGAATTTTTTACTGACCTTATTGAAACATATTTACATATTTGCGATATAGCAAAACTTGTTTTGGATACTTTAAAAGTGAATGAAATTCCTTTGGAAAACAGCGTAGCATTAGGTGCTGATAATGCACCTGTTATGGTTGGGAGAAGAAATGGAGCAGGAATTACGAAGGATATATCAGTTATTTTTGCAAGGATGTTTGTGCCATCTAATTAACTCAGCTGCAGAAAAGGGGGCTAATTGCATTCCTGTACGCATAGAGAAATATATTATTGATATATTTTTTTTATTTGCAAAAAAAAGCATTAAAAGAAAAGAAAAATTTAAAAAGTTTCAAGATCTCCATAACACAGAAATTAATTAGAAACGTGATAAAACATGTTTCTACGAGATGGTTGTCACTGGAACGTTGTTTATCTAGAATATTACAACATAGGGAGCCATTAACTTCTTTTTTTAAAGGAGAAAAAAAAGGATCGTCTTCTGTTGCCTTATCAGAATATAATATTCCAGAATTAAAGTAATCTACCCCTATATCAGAATTGGAATCTATTGATAAAAAGAAGAAAAAAACGACGAATGATAATATTCAGCCTGCACCTAGGAAGCAAAGGATATGTTCTAATGCAAATTTAGGTTAACATTCTAAAGCAAGTAATATTCTTTCCAGAGTAGGAAGACTTTGTATGTTTTTATCGTCTGACCTTAACAAGGCATATGTAAACTTTTTGTCACATATATCTACAAAAATTCACATCCTAAGGCAATTGATGAATGATCTTTTTAAAACACTTTTATCCAAATACTGTGAAATCTTCCAAATCATTCAAGATAAATTTTTATTCAAGGAATAATCAAAAAGATTATGTTGGCCTAGTTGTGGGACAGACTACAAATAAAATTGTTGATTCTTTGAGTGATCAAAGTATGTGACTATATGCAGCAGAAATTTCCTCTAAATGATTAAGTTGTTAATTATGCGGAAGTTGCTAATATGGAAAACTTTGACAAAGCATCTTTTTCTAGAGTAAAATTTTTTATTGATTGCTTTCCAGGACTGTTGAAATCTTTAGGTGAATGTACAGTAGTAGATGAATTGCAGTCACAATTCAATTCTTTGCAGATGGAGGATTTTTTTGGTGCTGTTGAGAGTCAGAGCAAAGAATTGAATCTAAATGGGTTAAATTGTGTGCTGTGTTTAAAAATAAATATGATTTGTTTGTCTAAATTCATGTTGTCAATACCACACAGCAATCCTGAGTGTGAGCGAGGTTTTAGTTTGGAAACAAAAACACACACACAGTTTAGACCTAGACCTAAAAATTTGGAGATGACTGTAAAAAATTTGGAGAACCTAATCACTGTTAAATCAAAATATTCAGAACCCTGTTTTAAACAAAAATTTAATGAGGATTTCTTGAAAAGTGCAAAATCTGCTACTATTAACAAATTTGCCAGTTAATTATGTTTGCTATGATTTAATTAAAAGTCTATTACTATATTTATGTATTTACTCTTATATTATATTTAATTAAGAATAAGTAAATCTTTCTTCAAAAACTATATACTTATTTCTATGGTAATGGTCTTTAACTACATTAGTTTTTGCAATAAATATATGAGCATTACACTTAATTCCTTTCTTCCCCCCTTTCCCTCTTATTTAGAAGTCTCCTCTTTTTTAATTTTCAGAGATTAGCAAGTTTCTCACATTTTTTGTTTTGCAGTATTTTGTGCTGTTAGTACCACTGCAGTTCTCAATTTCACATTTTGTGGGTAGAACTCTCCTTGAAGTCTGAAGTTTAATAAACATTGATAGTTATTCTCTCAATAGTGTGTATGTTGCACCAAGTAAATTGTATGTACTGCATTAAAGTAATAACAATATGAGGTAAAATGTTAAGAAAGAATCTAATGTATTGTTTCCCTTTAATTTAACAAATTATTTTTAACTTCAATTCATCCTTCCACAAATGATTTCGCAATTTAAACCAATTTTGACTAGTAAATTTAATCGATTGTTTACATTTACGTATAGTGTTTCAAATTATCATTTAGACGTTGATTACACAAACAACCTCAAAGTTCATTTGATGTTAAGTTTAATAGCCTGAAAAACTAGAACAGAGATCGCAGAAACATATCATCTGACCAATTATCTCTCATTCCAGGTTGGCTGAAGAGCATTTCTCATGAAAAGTGTCAATTTATGTCCAAAATTAAATTTCACTACTTTTTTGATAAATAAAACCCCTAAACATTTTTTTCCAAAAAATAGTCATGATTTTGCACTTAATTCATCAAAAAACATTTAATTTAATCATTTTTTACTCACAAGAAAAAAATTTTAAAGTTTCAAATATCAGATCGGTAACATGTCCCACCTAAGGATTTTAAACATGCAAACAAATCATGTGCATTTTATAATATCGTTTTGAAACACTGTTATACTAAAACGTATTTCATTTTTAACGCTCTGTTTATATTTTATTCGATTTTTATAAATATCTTCTCGTAATTGGCGAACAGACGCAAAACAGGTGCGTCCCAAGTTTCTCTGTCAGATCGGTAACACGAACATATCAAAGCTATTTTCTGACTCAAAACTTTACTTCCGGCAGAGATACCACGTGATCGGAACAAGGTACGCAAGATGGATGCCGAGATATTCGCCATTTTTCGTTACTGTTCCTGAAATGACAGGTAAGATTTTTTTAAAGTAATTTGATTACATGCGTACTTTTTCGTTGATCAGATCGGTAACGCACCCTGAGATGCGAAAATTTTATCGTTTCAAATGTTATTTTATATCATATACACAGTATTTGATTACAAAACAACAACAACGTGTTTTTACTTTTGGATGAATCAGATTGCCGATGTAAAATGAAGAATATTTTACAAATTCGTCAGATCGGTAACAATCAGATCGGTAACATTTAAAAATGCCCAATTTGTTACCGAAATGACGCCAGCGTTACCGAAATCTCAAATTTTTTTAATTTCTAAAGATATACTTTTTTATACGAATATTTTTGTTCGTAGCAATAAATTTTAATAACATTAGCTTATTAGGTTGTATTTTTTGCATATTTTATACCTTGCAAGGAAGAAAGTAATAAAAAACTGAGACAAATTGATGTTGCATTAACGGGGCCGCGAACGCCAACTGCTACACATTTGGCGTAGAAATTACGTAGTTATAGAGATTTCTACGCACTACACATCAGGAAACTAAAATTACGCTTTGTCGCAATCGTACGAATGACGAATTGTTTCCAACCCTTTTTTGACCGAACATATTCGATTTTGGGGTTTATCCTGCAGCTCCGATTTTTGATCGATTTCTTCCGATTCCCGGAAATTTAATTCAGGAATTTCCAATCCGTTTGCATCCATTTCATTGTCTAAATTATTCTCTAAAATCATGTTTTTTCTTAAACTAGACAATGCATACATACTATCGTATTTTATTATTTCGTTTCCGATCAATTTATTAAAAAAAATTTGCATTGTGCTCAGAAATTTCAAACCCATCATCTAAATTTGTCCTGCTCCCTGGCTGATTATTCCCCCTCCTCCAAACTTTTTTTTTATTTTAACAGATATTAAAATCTTTAAAACCTTTTCAATGAAAAGAAAAATCTGCCATTATTAACTGGTTTGAAGTGACATTTTGTAATTGTCAAAAAAAAAAAATTCTTAAAAAATGTTTTTAATTTAAATTTTTGATTTTTTTTTCAAAGTTAAGCAGCTGTGTGAAATACATATTTTCCTATTTACAGTGTCAAGAGAAGTTTAAACTTACTCTTTGTCGTGGAGATGTCTAAGAAAATCTCAAAAAAGAAGCTTAGTGAAAAAGAAATGGATGAAAAACGTAAAAAATGTCGTGAACGTGTTAGAAAACACAGAGCAAAAATGACAGAAGAAAAGAAAGCTGAGAAAAAAGCAAAGGATCGAGAATACAAACAAAAAATGAAAGAGGCTGGAGTTATCAAAAATATAAATGAATTATCAAATAGACAGAAGCGGATGAAGCGGAGACAGTGGAAAAAAGACTCTCGCAACTACAGAAGAAAACAAATTATGAAGAAAGAAGAAATAGTAAAAGAATCAACAACACTTGGAAGAAAAGGATCCCCAAGGGTACCAGCTGGGAGAAAAGTGGCCAAACGTACTTATATGAAAATGAGAAGAGATATTCAATCAATGAAAACTAAAATAAACAAAAAAGATAAAAAGATTGAAACTTTAAGGAAACAAGTTTATCGCCTCCAAAACAAAAAAAATGTGGACCTTTCCCCTCGTAAACAAGTGAAGAAGATTGTAGGTAGAAAGAAAGTTTCACCTGCTATTAGGAAAAATTTACTTCTAAGTTATGCTCTTATGTCAGGCCTGTCAGATAAAAAGAAAAAAACCTGTCAAAATGAGAAGGAGAGACGAATGTTCAATCATATAATTTCCCTTAAAATTATTAAGAAATATAGAATGATTGGCCATCTGAAAAATATTATATCTTACCAAGAGTTCAGAAAAGGTTTAAAAATGAAAAACGTCTACTTCAAACGATCCAACAGAAATCAAAAAGAACGACTTAAACTGCAACAATCAGTGCACAAGTTTTTGGAGGAGGATATAAATAGTTGCATGGCACCTGGTGCAAAAGACTGCATTACAAGAAACAAAGTAAAACACCAAAAGAGATACCTAAGAAACACAATGCAGAATTTGCATAAAATGTTTCTGGAAAGAAATAATACAAAGATTAGCTATTCAACTTTTTGCAGATTAAAACCCTTTTGGATACTCAAACCAAAGGTAACCAGTCGGGATACTTGTTTATGCACAAAGCATGCAAATTTTGAATTTCTTTCGATGAAACTAAATTACCACCAACTTATAAAAGAAAGACAAGCGGAAGAATTATGCACCAAAGTTTGCTGCGATGAAAAAAACAAGGACTGTATGGAGAGAAACTGTAGTAGGTGTAAAAACAAGACTCTCCCGGTAACCTTAATCGGAACTTCATTAAAGGAAGAAGATGAGACATTTTATTACCAGTGGGTTAAAAAAAGAGAGAAGATAAAAGATAAGAATGGGAAGGACAAAGTAATTACAATTACAATTAAAGATAAAATTGTCTGCACAGTTGGAGAGTTAATCAGTAAAGCAAATATTCAAATTGAACCTTTTTTGAAGCACGTGTTTATCATGAGACATCAGTTTAATGCTGTCAAAAAAATAAAAGGTTCTCTCAATGCAAATGAAGTAATCGTTTTAATTGACTTTTCTCAAAATTATGCTTGTAAATTTGGATCGGAGATTCAGACCATGCACTTTGGTTCTAATAAGCCTCAGGTTACATTACACACAGGTGTTTTGTATCACAATGATGTACAACACTGTCATTATGATCCATCCAAGCTTGAGCAGGTTATATCTTTCTGTTCAGTTTCACCCTCCCTCCGTCATGATCCAAGTGCAATTTGGGCCCACCTCCAACCTGTATTAAAGTTAATAAAGGAATATCTGCCTAGTGTGGATACTATACACTTTCAAAGTGATGGACCAACTCCACAATACAGAAACAAATGCAACTTTTTTCTTCTAACTTATTTTGCCTCAGCATTTGCTTTTAAGGAGGTCACATGGAATTTCTCGGCAGCTGGGCATGGGAAGGGTGCAGCAGATGGTGTTGGTGGATCAATTAAAAATATTGCTGATCATGTTGTAGCTTGTGGATCTGATATACCAAACTCCAGTGAACTGCTTAAGGTCTTGAGAGAAAAAGAATTGAAAGTTAAGATCTTCGAAATTACAGAGGAAGATATTAAAAAAATAGATAGCTTTGTCAACATTTTATTGGAACCAATTCCAAACACAATGAAATTACATCAAGTTACTTGGAGTCACACGAAACCTAAAGACTTATCCCTAAGATTACTCAGTTGCTTCAGCTGCATGGGAGATGAAATTTGTAAGCATTTTGCACCAAGTCCTGCCACATTTACATTTCCTGAAGAAAATGTTCTTCACCAAAAAATTGAAAAGAAATCTACAAATATAGCTGTAGGTGATTGGCTAGCTGTTATTTATGACAATTTGTGGTATCCTGGTAAGTTTCAATTGAAGTTTTAACTAAGTGAAATTATTCAAAGCTCTTTAATTAAATTAATGAATATGTAAATCTTTTGTCTAGGTTCAGTAGAAGAAATTCAAGAAGATGGTTTTGTGCTGTCATTTATGCATTGTTCTGGAGATAAATTTTATTGGCCATCACCCGAGGAAAAATTTACAGTTCCTGAAAATGAAATTATGTGTATAATATCTGATGCACCACAACCGATCTCTAGACGCCATTTCATTATTCAAAATAAAAAAAAATATGATGACATATTGATTAACATTTTAAATTCATAATGTAAAAGTCATTGATCATGAAATAAAGTAAATGTGTTTATTTTGCTTTGTTTTTACAATCATGTTTTTTTTTTATGACTCAATCTTTTTCTTCTTTTTTTTAAGAAATGTATTTTTTAAAATTCAATTTGATTTTTTAAAAAATATTTTACATATAAAAGTCATTTTATACATATAAAAAAGTTTTAATATTACTTCTAATGAATACTGATGTATCAACATCAGATCCGTAACGCAAAGCATCAGATCTGTAACAGCTTAAAAAGTGACCCCCCTAGGGAGGGGGTACATGACTTTCTTCACCTTACCCCTGTTGTTTTCTTGTATTAACATCCAATTTTAAGTTGAAATGCACCATTATCTTTCTCCTATAAATTTTTTTAAAATGTGTAAATTAGACTATTAAATTGACACTTTCTGTGATAAATGCTCTGAAGTCCATATACACAAGAGAAAAGGTTGTAAAACTAGTGTTTACCCAATAAAGGCAAATCTTTTCAAAGATTATATATATAAAATTAGCTAAGTTATAATTTACATACCTCATATTCATAACGAAAACTTCCACTAGGAGGTTCATTAGGAATAGGACAGCCTTCTTCTAATAACTCTGATGTTTCTAAAGGAACGTCGAGGATGAACTTATGAATAATATCAGATGTTTCAATTGCTCTTATTAAAGTAGATCTAATCAATTTGTCGTAACTAATATTCAGATCTTTCAATCTTTTCCCAACAAGTTGCGCTTGCTCTCGTCCTAGAAATACAACATTATATTGGAAAAAATAAAATTTATAAATTTATCAAGTAGAATTGTAATATATAACGAATGCCCCTTGCCATTTATGACATCCCACAAACACATTATGTCAACCCACAAGCTGGACTCCTTCAAGAACAAATGCAGCACCAAAATGTACATAGCTCTGGCTGTAATTCCCGGAGGTCTCACAAAGAAACTCTAGCTGCTTGATCTTACAATCAACGGCATATTTATACAGGAAGTGAGATGGTTGTGGGAGAATTGGATGGAGTGGGACATCCAGTTCTTCACAAAAGCTGGCCACATAAATAGAACCTTTCCTTAGATACGTTTTATCTCACTAAAGTTTAGACTAAAATTCTGGGATTAAGTTTTGGGCCAAAATTTATGGGTTTAGTTTTTTGACTGATTTGCTAGGGAGCTGTTGTTTGGATGAATTTCTGTGTCATTCACTTTTACTTATTGTAGGTCAGTTGCTGCATTTCTCTTTTCCATTTAAGTTATTTTTTAGGTTTCCCATGTATGTTATGTACCTGTAGTTTCAGGTAGAAGAAACCATCAAGTTTAAGAGATTATGCAGTCAAAAATTACGAAAAACTATAAATCGTTTTTGATAAATAGGAAGTTCCTCAGAGGAACTGCATTCATAGGATTTGTTGTGGATAATGTACAAGCTGTGCTAGGAGAAAAATAAAATTTTTTGACCAATAAAAATGTAGTTATTAAAAATATTTAATTGTGCACAATTTCACTACTTCATAATGAAATACACAAATGCTAAAAATAATTTATTTCGGAGATAGGCCTCGTGTTATTGATTTATAACTTGAAAATTTAGTAGGAAGGCGTATCTAATGGGGTAGTGTATATAGTATTACTTTTTTTTTCCTTTAAGAAATTTTTACTTTTTAGAAGCAAAAAGGAAATTTCATCATTTTTTTCACCTGTTACTAGTGCTTTTTATTTATTTTTTCACGCTTAATGTTACTCCAAAGAATGGTCAGCGCACCTGGAATTTTTCCCTCGCCCTACTTCCCCATTCTTTCCTGGAATCACTTTCTGGAGACCACTATTTGCAAGAGAACAAAAGTCTCTATTTTCCTTCAGCCATAGCATCAGCTTTTGAGTGTAGGGAACGTGCGTGGAGTGGAGAAACATAAATCAGAAAGGAATGAATAAAGAAAATCAGGGTGGTACCAGTTGATGACATTCACTGAAAACAAAAGTTTTCCCTCCGCCCATTTTTCCAGGAAATCATCATTCAGCCTTTGGATCAAGGTGTGTTAAGAAACCTCAAGTGCCACTACAAAGAAGATTTCCTAAAAAAATGATTGATTCATCTAATGAGGGGAAATCAATACAAGATTTCCAGAAATCCTTCAATATAAAGGAAGCTATATGGTTCCTTTACATATAAAGGAAGCAAAAGCCTGGAACTCAGTAACTCGCAATATTTTAATGCATGCATGGCGCAAGCTGATTCCTACATCAATATTTTTCGAAGACAATCTAGATTAATCGCTTTTCGAAGGTTTCAAACTTTCCACTGAGAAAGCCTAACAGAAAGAACTTTAAGAATACAGTAGGAAGTGGATCAAAAATGATATTTTCACAGAGTCTGAAATTGAGGAATGTTTTAACATTGACAACAATGTTCCGATTGTCAATGAACTGTCAGACGCGGTGATAGTTCAGACGGTTTTTAATCCCGGCACAGACAACGACAAAGTTGGCGAAATCGATGAGGAAGATGAAAACCAAGGAGCCTTTATTTCGAACGAACCATGTATCGAGTTGACGAAAGAACTCATTAAGGGGATGTAGAAAAAACCGTTTGTGGACGAATCTCACATTATGTTAATTTATAGATTCAGCAGTTGTTTATGCAACAATAACCAAATTTCCGTCAACAGAAAATGGAGGATTTTTTTTTTTTTAAAAATGCTGATATTTTTTTTTTCATTTCACTTTTTTTTTCCTTTTAATCTTATTAAACTTATGTATAATGTGTGACTTAATCGTTTTTTCTTCTTTTTAAAACTATTTCTAAATAACTTTTTTTAAGTTAGGTTTGATAAACAATAAAATAAAAGGTGTTTTGAAGCGAATCAGAAAACCGCAAAAATCAGTTATCCGGAATAGCGATGGTCCTAATTGTTCCGGATAATCGGTTCTCTACTGTAACTTGTTTTTAAGTTATACATTTCAAATGCCTCTCATTAAGAGGAAAAGTTATACGGCTACGTTTAAGCTCTCAGCAGTTAAAAGAGCTGAAGAAATCGTTAATCAGGGTGCTGCTCGAGAATTCGATGTTGATGAACGGTGCATCCAGAGGTGGAAGTAGGAAAACGAAATATTATCTCAACTATCCAAGACTAAGCATGCTCAGTGTAATGACATTGTATGATGGCATGGATTAAAGTCAAAGGGTTGTCCCGTTCCACAGTCTGGATTTGCATACAAGTGAAATTGATTGCCTGCTAGATTTCAAAGGAGAACCAAATTGGTGTTTCAAATTTATGACTGTAGAAGAAATGGGAACAAAATCTGTGGCCATAAGCCACGAAAAAATATCCTTTACCTGTGTGTTAGGATGCTCTGCAACTGGGTAAAAGCTTACCTTGTTGCTAATTTTCAAGAGGAAAACTTTACGGAAAGGTAATTTTCCTCAAGACGTGATAATTAGAGCAAATGAAAAGGGGTGTATGTGCAAGGATATAATGCTACAGTGGCTGGACTTGGGTATCGGAAGCACAAAGGTGTTTTTCTCCAACCACACGGATTATTGACCCTCGACTCGCTGCACTCCCATAAATTATTTTCGGATCACTTTCGTTGTACTGTGAAGTGATGTCAATATCAGCAACTTCGAATCGGAGTTGTTTTTATGTGTGAGCGTTCATTTTTCTACCTAGCTTATTCGGAAGAATTTACGGGAATCATTGCTTCTAAAAAAGGAATGAATTATGCCTTCTGCACGTTTTGTTCTGTGGATTTTTCAATCATGCATAAAGGCAAAGGTGACATATCTGCTCACGTTTCAAGACAGAAACATGTAGATAATCAGAGGATATGACCAGAAAATAAAAAAATTGATTTTTCTGTGAAAAAAATTTACAATTCCGCGATCCGCGCTCTTTACATCATTTATTGTGGAACATAACATTCCCATCAATGTTGCCGACCATGTTGGTCTCCTACTGCAGAATATTTTCCCAGATAGCAAGATTGCAAAAGAGTATAGCTGTGCGAGGACAAAAACAGCGATTGTTGGGGAAATGGCTAGATCCAACAAATCGGAAATTACTGATCTGCTAAAAAGCAACGTGTTTTCAATTTCTACTGATGGAAGCAACAAGGGAAGCAGCAAATTGTTTCCAATTGTTGCTACTTTCTATGATGAAAAGAAAACACTGACATGTTTGATATCTGCGCCTGTTTTGGAGGGAGATGCCACTGGAGTAAATATATCTAAACTCATTTTAGATACTTTAACTTCTAGTGAAATACCTTTGGCAAATCGTTTAGCTTTAGGTGTGGATAATGCTCCTGTGATGACAGGGGAAAAAAATAGAGTGGCAGGAATCTTTACTAAAGACATTTCAGACTTATTTGAGCAAGGATGCCTATGCCATCTCTTAAACTTGGCAGATGAAAAGGGGGCAAAGTGCTTGCCAATAAATATAGAGGAATATATTGCGGACATATTTTTTTATTTAGAAAAGAGTAAAAAGCGCAAGGAGCGTCTTAAAAAATTCCAAGAATTGCATAATACTGAAATATGAAAAATGTTGCTACTTGATGGTTGTCGATTGGACGTTGTCTGTCAAGAATTTTACAACAATGGGAACCACTTACTTCTTTTTTTAAACTACAAAAATCTTGTGAATTCACAAGATTTTCATGCTTATTTTTTGGATCTTGATATTAAAATTCTTAAAAACAATAAAATTTTTATTGGTGTTTATGATAAATGAAAAGTTTTTTAATTTATTTTGTTTTTGGTCAAATATTAAGATTTAAATTTATTTGTAACAACCGAACAGATTTTTTATCAGCTGTTGGGAATTTAAAAATTAGTCTGAAGAAAAATAAATTTCCTTTTAATTTCAATAATTTTGATATCTTGATTAAAAATATTTTAAACACTTTATATTAGTTTGGCCGCATTGAAGCCTGCATAAACAGGCCTATGCGATGAGCACTAAGGATTTCATTTTCCAAAGCAGATGGCAGCACTTGGATTTTTATTGCTCATTGATTAAATGTTTTACTTTTCCGGAATTCCTTCACAGGTGTCAGCACTTGAATTTTTTTCTCTTACTGATTCAGAATTTTTGATATTGTCACTTTTATTAACTGAAACTCTGCTACTTTAGATTTATTTATATTGTGCTTTAAGGAGACATTTCATTCAAATTTTGATTTAAAATTTGTACCTTTTAGGTGTGATTCTTTTTCAAATTTATAGATATTAATTTGTGGTAAAAGTTTTTTTTTCCTTGTCTTTTCATGAAGGGGCCTCGGGGCACCGTTAAATCCACTAACAATAGAAAGGCTCCTGTGTGTTTGCAGGCAGTGTGTCCCCTGATGAGGTAGTGTTCTGCAAACACACATTTATATATTATATTTTATTTTCAATTATTAAGAATTTATGTCTTATCTCTAGGTTATGGATTTCGCATCTCTTCTACCAATGAGGGAAGGAATCCAGCTTCTGTTGCGAGAGCACTTCTCGTTACCACACGACTTCTTGTTTGCCGACGCGAAAGAAAACGTTGAAAGAAAGTGGCATGTGTAAAAACGAAATAGTGGTTGATTTATGGTAGGAAATTTATTTTATTATTCGATAAATCTTTTTAATTTATTATGGCTGAGCGAGAAAAATACAAACAAGCCCATAAGGAATCTTATTCACTTGAATTTCTATTTATTTCTAGATCGAATCTTGGAGTACATGATGTACGTTGCAACGCACATAAAAATGACTTTAG